TGTGTGGTGGTCTCTCTGTGGTTTTGGTAGCATTTTCCTCATGACTAAAGAGGAGCATCCTTTCCTGTACTGACTGACCATTCGAGTAGCTTCTTTGGCAGTATGTCTGTTCTTATCTTTTACCCATCGTTTAAAGTTGGTTTGATTGTCTTCCTGAGTTATGAGAATTTTCTTTTATTAAATTTTATTAAAATTTTTAATGTTTTAATTTTATTAAAAATTTTTTAATGTTAATTCATTTTTGAGAGAGAGAGAGAGACAGAGAGAGAGAGAGCATAAGTGGGGGAGGGACAGAGAGAGAGGGAGGCACAGAATCCGAAGCAGGCTCCAGGCTCTGAGCTGTCAGCACAGAGCCTGACTTGGGGCTTGAACTCATGAACCAGGAGATCAGACGCTCAACCCACTGAGCCATCCAGGCCCCCCCAAAGGGTTTTTAATTTGATGATGTTTTTGAATGTACTACATTTTTTTTTTTGGTGTTCATACTATTTATGTTCTAAGAAATCTTTGTTTATTCCAAGGTTCATTAAAGATTTTTCTCTTATGTTTTCTTCCAGAAGTTTTGTAGCTGTAGATTCTACTTGATGTCTGTAATGTGTTTTATGTTGGTTACTTTTGTCAGATTAAATCCAACCTTTCATTCCTGGTTATCTGCCCAGCACTGACACAATGTCTTATTATTGCTTTAATATATATGTATTTTAAATTTTTTAAAAATTTAAATCCAGGTTAGTTAACGTAGTGTAATAACGATTTCTGGAATAGAATTTAGTGATTCACCGTTTATACATATATAATACCCAGTGCTCATCCCAACAAGTGTCTTCCTTCCGTCCCCCATCTAGCCCATCCCCCCACATAGCACCCCACCAGCAACCCTCAGTTTGTTCTCTGTATTTAAGAGTCTTTTATGGTTTGTCTTCCTCTGTTTTTATCTTCATTTTGCTTGCCTTCCCCTATGTTCATCTGTTTTGTATCTTAAATTCCACACATGAGTGAAATCATATACTTGTCTTTCTCTGGCTGACTTATTTCCCTTAGCATGATACCCTCTAGTTCCATCCACGTTGTTGCAAATGGCAAGATTTCTTCCTTTTTGATCGTGGAGTAGTGTTCCATTGTATATACATACCACGTCTCCTTTATCCACTCATCAGCTGATGGACATTGGGGCCCTTCCCATAATTTGGCTGTTGTTGATAGCGCTGCTATAAACACTGGCATGCATGTGCCCCTTCAAAACGGCACTCCTGAATCCTTTGGGTAAATACGTAGTACTGCAGTTACTGGGTTGTAGCATGGTTCTAGTTTTAATTTTTTGAGGAACCTCCATACTGTTTTCCAAAGTGGTTACACCAGTTCACATTCCCACCAGCAGCTGCAAAAGGGTTCCCCTTTCTCTGCATCCTCACCGGCACCTCTTGTTTCCTGAGTTGTTAATTTTAGCCGTTCTGACAGGTGTGAGATGGTATCTCATTGTGGTTTTGATTTGTATTTCCCTGGTGATGAGTAATATTGAACATCTTTTCATGTGTGTGTTAGCCATCTGGATGTCTTCTTTGGAAAAGTGTCTGTTCGTGTCTTTTGCCCATTTCTTCACTGGATTATTTGGTTTTGAGTGTTGAGTTTGAGAAGTTCTTTATAGATTTTGGATACTAACCCTTTATCCGATATGTCATTTGCAAATATCTTCTTCCATTCCGTTGTTTACCTTTTAGTTTTGCTGGTTGCTTCCTTTGCTGTGCAGAAGCATTTAATCTTGACGAGGTCCCAATAGTTCATTTTTGCTTTTGTTTCCCTTGCCTCTGGAGACATGTCGAGTAAGAAGTTGCTGCAGCCAAGGGGTACCTGGGTGGCTCAGTTGGTTGGGCATCTGACTTTGACTCAAGTCATGATCTTGTAGCTCGTGGGTTCAATCCCTGTGTTGGGCCCTGTGCTGATAGCTCAGAGCCTGAAGCCTGCTTTGGATATTCTCTCTCTCTCTCTCTCTCTCTCTCTCTCTCTCTCTCAAAAATAAACATTAAAAAAAAGAAGGAGTTGCTGCAGCCAAGGTTAAAGAGGTTGTTGCCTGTTTTGTCTGGAATTTTGATGGCTTCCTATCTTATGTTTGGGTCTTTCATCCATTTTGAATTTATTTTTGTGTCCAATGTAAGAAAGTGGTCCAGGTTCATTCTTCTGCATGTTGCTGTCCAGTTTTCCCAGCACCATTTGCTGAAGAGACTGTCTTTTTCCCATTGAATATTCTTTCCTGCTTTGTTAGATGAGTTAGCCATGTGTTTGAGTACCCATTTCTGGGTTCTCTATTCTGTTTCAGTCATCAGTGTTTTTGATTTTGTGCCGGTACCATACCGTCTTGAAGACTATAGCTTTGTAATAGTTTGAGGTCTGGAATTGTGATGCCTCCAGCTTTGGTTTTCTACAATGTCTTATTTTTAACGTGTCGCTGGACTCAGTTTGTTAATACAGTTAACTCTTGCACAACACAGTTTGAACTGTACATGTCCACTTATGTGGATTTTTTCAATAAATGGAGTCCTGAAAGTAAATGTATTTTCCTTTCCTTGTGACTTTCTTAATTTTTTTTTTAATGTTTGCTTATTTTTGAGAGACAGACTGTGAGTGGGGAGGGTTAGAGAGAGGGAAACACAGAATCCGAAGCAGGCTCCAGGCTCTGATCTGTCAGCACAGAGTCCGAAGTGGGACTTGAACTCACGAATGGTGAGATCATGACCTGAGCTGAAGTTGGACACTTAACCGACTGAGCCACCCAGGTGTCCCTTCTAATAACTTTCTTAATGATGTTTTCTTTTCCTTAGCTTACTTTATTGTAAGAATATAGTATGTAATATACATAACATAGAAGTATGTGTTTATTAACTCTGATACCGGTAAGTGGTGGTCAGTAGTAGGCTATTAGTAGTTACATTTTGGGAGTATCTAAAGTTGCATGCGTGTGTGTGTGTGTGTGTGTGTGTGTGTGTGTATGGGGGTTTGACTGGCAGTGTGTGCACCCCAAGCCTTGCATGGTTCAAGGGTCAGCTGTACTTTGTTTCTTCATCCATATTTATAAGTGAAATAGGCTCTTGATCACCTTGTCGGGTTTTGAAGTAGAAGTCTCGCTAGCCTCATAAAATGAGTTGGGGGCATGTGTCCTCCTAATTCTATTCACCATAATTTTGAATTCAGTTGGATGATTTTGTTCTTTGAATCTGGATGGAACTCTCCAGTGGGGCCACCTAGACCTCGAGTAGGCAGTGACACCCTGCCAAGAAGATGAGGGCTTTGTGGCTTGGATAACGGTGGCCTGGAGACAGCCCGTTTCGGATGGCCCAGAGCAGTGTGAAGACACCCAGGGGAGCCTGGGCCCTGGCTGCTGGTCAGGAACGGCAGACCGGGAGGTCAGAGGTGGCCCGGTTGTCTTCGGGGCCTCACACCCGCCCGGGCGGTGACCTCCCTCTCTGTCAGAGGCCTGGTGCATTCCCGGTGGAGCGCATCAAACAAGATGTCGCCCAGAGGCTCTGTTTGCCCCGAGGACCCCCCGGGCCAGTGGGCATTGGGCGGACTGGCTGCATCCCTACCGCCCCCTCTGCCTCCTGCCGTGACCACAGCTGAAGGTCAGCTGGGCGCCGCCAGCTTGAATGAGGCAAACCTCAGGCTAGCTGTGCTCATGTTCTGGAAAAGGAATGGAATGAATTTCTGATTCTTGCTTCCTGAAAGATGACCAAGACTCTGCCCCAGAGAAACCCCCTTACGACCAAGCAGAGCTCAGCCGTCCCTTGCCGGGGACAGCGTCTCAGATGTCCCCTCCCTCCCCTCTTGCCCTGCAGCCACAGTGTGTGTCTCTGTGTGTGCCGCACCCCACAAGCTGCCGTTTCCTGGTAAAGACCGAGATTTGGAGCCCGGCCGTTCGCTTCCTATCGGTCTTCTGCACAGTTCCCTTATGAGGGCCTTCGGGGGCCAGGCCGGCCTTGGGGCCTTTCCTGTCTATACCTTATTAGGCACCCTGTGTAAGAGGAGTCGAGTATTTGGTGAGCTGTATGGAGACGCTGGCAGCGAGGTGCTAAGTGGGCTGCCTTGCAGCAGGCCTGCGGAGAGGGCGGGCGGCACTGGCCTTGCTGGGCCTCAGAGCCAGCAGGGTGCTCTGGCCGCCCTGGCCTTCCGGAGTGGGCTCTGCACGCGTCCCAGCCGAGATGTGGGCAGGCAGGTGCAGTGTGGCCGGGAGGGCCATGGGCCCGCCCGCTGCTTAGGGAGCACTGCCACACAACAGTCTCTGTGTTCGCTGCCCTTCCGGTGCCGTGATGCCGGGAACACGCAGCAGCAACATCTGAGTGGCTCAAAACAACACGCTTCCTGTTTGATGCTCATGGCCCTTCAAGTCCTTCGACCACCCCGGCTAGGTCAGGCCAGACTCGGGCTTTGAGCCGAGTGTAGGATCTTTGATGTGGAGCCCGGACCGAAAGGGCATCAGCACCCAGGCTGTGCACTTAGAGCAGATCGCGAGAGTGCGAGAGGCCGAGCTGGTCACACAGACCCCCTGGAAGCCTCTGGTGGGGTCAGATCCTTTGCCTTTCCAGGGACCAAAGCAAGGCCACGGTGTCAGCCGGGCTGGGGTCGTTCTGTGCTCTGGTGGGAGGACTGCAGGGTCCCATGGTGACACACATGGTGTCTGATCCCACAGCTTTGGGAGCCGGAACCCCATCCATGCTGGTCTTTTCCTCAGTGCCTGCAGGAGGTTCTCAATGCATCTGTTGTCCACTCTGGGTAGCGTCCACAGTGCCCAGCATGGCGAAAGTTCGCCCATGTTTGAGCAGCCAAATGAATGAGCCTAAACCCAATGAAGGTTCTGGTTTGAGTGTTCATAGAACAAAATTGAGAGTCGTGTTGCTGAAAGCAGCCACAGGTTGTACGAAATCGCTTCTAACCCAGCTTGAGAAGGATGTCGTCCTTCTGTGCCGTTTCTCTGATTTTATTGACCTTTTGCTTGAATTGTCTTGTTTCAGGGAAATTGTGGAACATATGGTCCAGCACTTTAAAACACAGATCTTTGGGGATCGGAAACCAGTGTTTGATGGAAGAAAGAATCTCTACACAGCGATGCCTCTCCCAATCGGGAGGGATAAGGTAAGCACACTTTTGGATCAAGCACTGTGCAGTGAAGAAACATGCAAACCCGTCACTGTGCGCTAAGTCACTGGGGAGATGGCTGTGGTCGGCTGTGTGCTTCAGCCCGACCGCCACGGAGGCTGCCATCCGCGTGCTGTGTTTTCAGAGTGAGAGGCTGAGTTGGCTACGTTCAGAGACAGAAGCTGAGAGCTTCTTGGAACGGCATTTTTATTTTATTTTTTAATGTTTATTTTTTTGAGAGAGAGACAGAGCTTGAGTGGGGGAGGGGCAGAGAGAGAGGGGGAGACACAGAATCCGAGACCGGCTTCAGGCTCTGAGCTGTCAGCACCCATGAACTGCGAGATATGACTTGAGCCGAAGTCGGACCCTTAACTGACTGAGCCACCCAGGCGCCCCTGGAACGATACTTTTAAATGTAAAACACACACACCTCACGCGCCACAGATCACCACACAGACAGGAGTCTGGGTGGTGAAGACCTTTGGAAAAGGACATTTGTAGAGGTGGAGGCGTGTGTGATGGTGGTGGCCATGATGGTGGTTTGCAGAGGTGAAGGTGATGGTGGCTGTGAGGCACAGCTGATATCTCACTGAAATAATAATCGATTGATTAACCAACCCGGGTACTGGTTGTTTTAAAATGTCGCCTTTCATTATCGCTTTCGTCCTTATCATGGCTTTACTTAAAGAGGGATTCAGTTTCTGTCTAGAAGTTGTCACCTCTCGGCACATCTTCCAACCAATGGGCTGATCCGGGATGGTGACGGGGGCTGGTTGGTAATAGAAGAGCAAAGACTCAGCTCAGGAATAATCTTGACACAAACCTTAAAAAAATAAAAAACACAACAAAGAAACTAGTAACAGAACAGCTGGCCCAGTGGGTGCAGTAAAGTTGATTCCTGTCGAGAATGACCTGCCCCGTTAGCTTCGTCAGTCCCCGGGGCCCTGGGAGGGAAGGCGGTGTGGTACCCACGGGGTGGGGGGTCCTTACAGTGCTGGCCACTGAGCTGCACGTTCTCCAAGGGCATCAAGTGTTTTGTTTTTGTGTCTTTCTATCATCTTAACATGACTAAGCTCCTTGCGCTGGTCTGAGTTGCCAGGAGCCTGGGTGGTTTTAGCGCTCTGATAACGGTAGAGTACGTTGCGGCCGAGGGAAGGCTGGTGCTGATAACACCCCCTTACTGACTGGTCTCGGGCTCTGCGATAACCGCGGTGCCCGGCGGGACACTGCCGGCCTGGGCGCAGGGCGATTGGCATGGGCCTTCGGAATCTGAGGGAGCCCCAGGGCTAAATGCCCGGCACCGGGTAGGATCGCGCCTTGCAGATAAGCACGCTGGTGCCTTTGCTGTGTATTGATTGTAAAGTGTTATGTTTAATTTGCATGTTTGGTTTTGTGTAAAGTTGTATGAGAAAAAAGCATAAGGAGTTTATTCGCAGTTTATCTGTGCATATTTATAAGTAGACTCGAGGAGGGGCTAGGAATATTTTTCCTTCGGAAGGGGTGAGGGAAGCTGGTACAGTGTTCATATTTGAGGAAGTCAGCCCAGCTCTGGGGTAAAAATGGAGCTGATCCAAGTCCTTGCTGTGCCCACGCTGTGGTGTGGGACGTGGCTAAGCCTGCCCACCCGGCCGGGCCCAGGTGCTGCCGTATGGGGGCAGGTGTTGAAGCCACTCCCAGGGTCCTTGTGAAAGCTGAGCGGATCCACCTGCAAGAGAGTGCCCACGGGGGGCGTGCTGCCTGTGCCCGGGTACAGTTTCGGGGGCGGGAGGGGGTCTGTCCATACCGCGGGTCCCAGATCATACTCTGAGTTGTCCGGGGTGAGCGTCCATAACCGCCTGGCAGACACGGCTGGCTGTGGTTGGTCGTCTGGGAGGTCCGTGTGCCCCCCGCACACACTCCCCCTACCTGGCAGGTGCTCCGTGTCCGACAGGTGTAACGCCGCCCTTCCGCGCACCCTGCGGATGAGCGTCGAGCACCTGCCCCAGCTGCTCCTTCCGGTCGTTAGGTCTCCGTCAGACGGTTGTGGTCTGCAGACATTAACCTCTTCTGTTTGGGAGCCGACACGCTGTGGCCACTTTTCTGTGCCCCCCCCCCCGCCCCCCCCCCCCCCCCGCCCGCCCCCGGCCCCGGCCTCACCTCCTGTGGCAAAGTGTCTCGTCGATCTGTCTTACATTTGCTCTTTTTCTCTGAAATGCTTTCCTGGCGTCGCGGGCACCTGTGTGTAAGAGAGAAGATCCCGTGCTGTCCCGTGGACCCCGTGGGCGGCTCTCGTCCAGGTCCACACACAGGATGTGGCCCGTGGCCCTTCCTCAGGAAGGCAGCTCTCGTCACTTGCACTTACTCTGCCCCCCTAAGAGCCCACCCACCTTACCCCCAGGCCTGTGTAGAAGGACAGCCTGGTTGGGGCCCAGAGACCCTGTGGCTGGGCCAGGCCCTCACGTCTCACACCAGGCAGCTCAGGAGCTCGGAGCACCTGCTCACCGTCCCGGGCACTCCGCGAGATCAGAATATCTGTCGGTGGGGACTCCTGGCGCCGGCCCGGCCCTGGGCCCTCTCTCGCTGGCCCTCCAGCATCTTGTAGCGACAGCGTCTGTCTGCCTCTTCAGGGAAAAGGCACAAGTGCCTCCTTCCTGGAAGCAAGTGGCCTGTCAGGCCAGGTGCACGACCTGAACGGGACGCTGCGTGGGAGGTGGGACCCTGCTCACGGTGGGGCACACACCCTGCACGCCACGCCTGGCGCTCCTGCCCCATCACCCCCGTGCCGCAGAGCGAGTGCGGCCGTGAGCACTGGCCCGGGGACAGGGGCCGGGGAGCCGCCCCTTGGCCCTGTGCGCTCACTGGGGCGACCGAGGGACCCTCCAGTAGGGCCACAGCACGTGTCCCAGGGCCTTGAACCCAGCTGGCCTGGCTCAGAGCTGACGCCTGACAGAGCAGCCACGTAGACCTGCTGGTCTCACCCCAGGAGGGTGACTGAGTTCCCAGCCCCCACCGATGTGCTCGGAAGGACTGGGGTTTTCATCCAGGCTAATTTGTAGGGACGACAGGTCGCTTTTTGAAGAGCTTGGCTGCTGTCCAGTCGCAGGGAGACCTTTGATACCCATGCCCCACACACGTGTGACACGAGGTAGGACCTTCACATCCCCTTCCGGGAGGGGCCCGAGGCCTGGAGCCTGGGCACCTGCTGCAGCTGGCTCCGTGCACGACCCGCCCCACGCGCCCTCGACTGCACAGACAGCCGGGTTGTAGATAAGAAAACCCTGTCAAAACACACCCGCTTCCTTTGTCCGCAGTTTCTCTGTGTCCCTCACGGTGGTGTCGTCCCTGCCTCAGTTTCCTGGCCACACAGGTACCAGAATGGCCCCCCCCCACCCCCGGCAGCTCTGAGCCTGCCACCCCGCTGGCTTTCAGACAGAGGGAGTTGAGCGTGCAGCTTTGATCTGTCTGGAGACGCCGAGTTTCGCACTGGTTACCCCATGCCCAGGCCTGGGCCATGTCCTCAGCTGCGGTTTCGGGGTCTGTGCTCAGAAGGCGGTCGTAGCATTCCTGTGCCACAGCTTTTCGCGGAGCCGTCGCTGGTGCCCTGAGAGGCGGCCAGCCTCACGGCCCGTGTGTGCCGCCGGGAGCCCCACGGAGCCCCGCATCCTGCGCAACTCGCGTCAGCAGCTGCGGCGGATCCTGGCGTGTGGACGGACCCCGCTGGCAAGTAGCCCAGACCGACACGAGGGAGTCCTCAGGCCGTGTCACGGCCACAGCCCAGCACCGCCCTTCCCGTGACGGGGGTGTCCGTGAGGTCCCCGCTGCGTCCCAGCTGTCAGAGCGTGCCGTGGACTGAGCTGGCGCCGAGGGGAGGCTGCAGCCCACCCACCCATGCACCCGAGCGCCTTTGCTGAAGGGAAGTATAGCCCCTCAGAGAGTGGCCATACTGAGGTGTCACTGACAAGTAAAGTCGCGTGTGTGTAAGGCGTACGTGATGACTTGACACCCGTGGACAGTGTGAAATGACGAAGGCGCCCATCACCTCCTGTAATTACCATGCTGTCCATGGTTTCTGTGTGTCCTCACTGACCCGGCAAAGCGGTGCTGAAGTGCTGCTCTCGCAGAGAGAGCTGGGTAGGCCTGTGTGAACACCGCATCAGTGCATAGAAGTTTGTGCCGGAGGCCAGACCCAGACCTCCCGACGGATGCTCTCCTCTAGCCTCTGCCTGACGTGACCCCACACACGTGTTCACGCGGCACACGGCGCCCCTTCTGCTGGGGGAGGAGGGGCGCATTTTCAGACTTACTTCTGTAACTGAAGTGTAGTTGACATACAGCATCATAATCGTTTCAGGCATTCGGCACAGTGACAGCAGTTCTGTACAGTATGAAATGTCCCCATGGTGAGTGTGGCCACTGTCTGTCACCACAAGTGAGGACAGTGTTATGGACTCTCCTCTCCGCTGCCCTTTTCATCCCCATGGCTCACCTTGTAACGAAGTTTGCACCCCTTCAGCCCCTTCATCTAACCCACCCGTCCACCCGCCTCCCCTCTGGCGACCCCTAGCTTGGGCTCCGTATGTAGGAGTCTGTTTCTGGGTTTCCATTTGTTCATTTGTTTGGTCATTAAATTCCAGACATACACGGAACCATGCAGCATTTACCTTTCTCAGTTTCGCTCGGTGTAATATCCTCTCGATCCATCCATGTTGTTGCAAATGGCAAGATCCCACTCTTTCGTGTGGCTGAGGAACATTCTGGCGTCTCTGCACCTCCTCCTCTGTATCCGGTGTTCAGCCCGGGCTGCCTCCATGTCCTGGCTGCTGTGATGGTGCAGTCAGCGGGGGGCGGGATTTGTCCAAATTAGTATTTTCGTTTTCTTCAGGTAAATGTCCAAAAGTGGAATTATTGGATCATGTGGTACATCTGTTTTTAACTTTTTTTTTTTTAATGTTTATTTTGAGAGAGCGCGTGCACATGTGAGAGATGCAAGGGGCAGGGGGGCGTGGGGAGAGAATCCCAAGCAGGCTCTGCACTGTCCACATGGAGCCCAACAAGGGGCTCGATCTCAGGAACTGTGACAACATGACCTGAGCCAAAATCCAGAGTCGGACCCTTAACTGACTGAGCCACCCAGGTGCCCCACTTCTGTTCTTAACTTTTTGAGGACCCTCCACACTGATCTCCAGAGTGGCTGAACCAGTTTGCATTCCCACCGGCCGTGCACAAGGGTCTCTTCTCTCCACCTGCTCGCCAGCACTTGTTACTGCTTATGTTTTTGATCGTAGCCATTCTGACAGGCGTGAGGTAACACCTCATTGTGGTTTTGGTCTTGGTTTTAGCAGCCGAGTGTGCGTCCACAGTGTGCAGCGGGTCTTTCTGGAAGGGGCCCTCCCGTAGAGACCTCCTGTGGTTCAGCTGCTGCTGCTTGTGGGTCAGGTCCACGCACCTGGAAGTGTGATTTCTCTCTCACTGCTCCCTCCTCGGCTGGGCCTCGGGCCACATCCAGTTGGTGGCTGTCAGGAGTTACGGTACTCGGTGCCCCTGGCATGCAGGGGACCCCAGTGCAGCCTGCTTGCCGCTCTCGTGGTGGTTGGACGCACTGAGTGCACGAGGGAGGAAGTTCCGCAGGAGCTGAGAAAGGCTGGTGGGAGTTGAACGAATGAAGAGTGAGGGGTGAGTGAAGAGTGAGGCCGGTGCAGCCAGAATGCTTGGCCTGGAATGTGACCGCTGGCTGGGGGTTGCTGGGTGCCTGGGGGCGGGGCTGGGGGGGCGTGCCAGGCAGCTGGCACAGAGGCAGCACATGGAACCCTCTTCCTTCTGGGACTTGGAGGTTTGAGGGGCCTGGATAGGGTGGGGGTAAGGCTGGGGTCGTGGGCGGTGGCTGCACACGTGTGTCGTGCTGCCCAAAGAGTGACAGCCTCCAGTCAGCACTGGGGAGTGGAAGGGCCCAGCCCGGCCTCTGCCCGATCACAGCTGTGTGGCCTGGGCTGGACCTTTAATCTCATCTGTGTTTTCATGTGTAAAAAGTACAGGGAGCACCTGACTAGATTTTGGCTCAGGTCGTGATCTCACAGTTTGAGAGTTTGAACCCCGTGTCGGGCTTGACGCTGACAGCGCAGGGCCTGCTTAGGATCCTCTCTCTCTCCCTCTCTCTGCCCCTCCCCGCTGACTCTCGAGCTCTCTCTCAATGTAAAGACAATAAACATTAAAAAGGAAAGTAGTGAATAAAGCCTCTGTTTCTGGGATCTTCGGATATTTAAGGATAAAGTATATATAATCGGTGATCTGTCAAAGTAGACTTTCTGTAACTATTGGCAAATACCCAAATCGCTTCAGTCACCAAGTTTTGGGAGTGCCCTGTGTTCAGGATGACTGTCATCGATTACCAAATAATTAACTGCAGGATCTGAAGTGGTGGGGGTGCGGGAGATCCAAGCATCACATGAAGCAAGGGGCGGGGGGGCAAGGGGCGCTTCAGTGATGGGCGGAGAGCGAGATGACTCACTGTCTGCTTCAGGGACTGGACCTCCGACCGCCATCCAGTACGCCAGCCACTGGCCGTGCGGAGATGTATAAGTGTAGGTTTGTTAAAAGTTAACAAAGCTGAAAATTCAGTCCCTCAGCCACACCATCCACATTTCACGTGCTCGGTGGCCGCACGCGGCCAGTGGCTATCATCCTGGGCAGCACAGAAAGAGACTGTTGTCTTCATCACAGAAAGTTCTATTGGACGGAGCTGTTGTGGACCACTGAGCACGGTTGTGGCAAATATTCTGAGGTTTGGCTAAGAACTTCAGTTTCTTCCCAGGAGATTCTCGCAGGTCTTGTAGTTGAAGCTTTTCTCTCTGCTTGTTTTGTACCTAGAGCTGCTGGTATGCCTGGGGCCCAGACAGTCCCGTAGGACAGCTTCTGGAAGTGCTGGCGGGCTAGCCCCGTGCGTGTCCCCATCACCTGCGTTCTTTATTCAGACACTTATCTTCTCACATTTCATCATGAACCTGTTTCGTCAGAGAGGAAAGCTGAAGGCATTGTAGGGGTGCACACCTGCCTAGAATCTGCTGTGCACTGGAGGGGCGTGCGCCCACCTAGAACCCACAGTTAGCCTTTGTTTTACCACGTGTCTGTTCTGAGAAGGGAACCCCCAGACCCACTGCAGCCTTTCAGTTCCACTGCGAAGTAGCTCTCCAGGACCCCCAGCTAGCTCCCAACCCCCCCTTCCTATGTTCCAGAAGCAGCCTCCGCCTGTGTCACACTCCGCCCCTCCCCCACCCCCCACCTACCCCTGACTGGACCCCCAGGCGGAGAAGCTGCCATATAGAATCCGCCCCGTTCTGGTGATGCCTCCTCAGGATGAAGTCTCTGGGTGCTCACCTCTCCTGAGCTCTGTATGCAGGACTGGGCAGAAGCCCCAGGTCTTGTGGCTGGGGGGGGGGTGTGCATGTGCCCAAGTGCGAACGGTTGTCTGAGGGACCGGCTGTTTCCCTACCCAGAGATGATCTGGGAGCTGACTACCGCCTTTGACCTCCCAGTAGCTTCTTAAGAAGCGAGTGTGAGGGGCAGCTGGGAGGCTCAGGCGGTTGAGCATCCAACTCTTAATCTCAGCTCAGGTCTTGATCTCAGGGTCATTGAGTTCAAGTCTTGAGTTGGGCTCCATGCCCAGAGTGGAGTCTACTTATTTATTTATTTTTTTTATGTCTTTATTTTAAGAGACAGAGACAGAGAGCGAGTGGGGGAGGGGCAGAGAGAGAGACATAGGATCTGAAGGAAGCTCCAGGCTTTGAGATGTCAGCACAAAGCCCGACGCAGGGCTTGAACCCATGGACTGTGAGGTCATGACCTGAGCTGAAGTCAGACGCTTAACCGACTGAGCCACCCAGGCGCCCCGGGTGGAGTCTACTTTTAAAAAGGAAGGAAAACAGGAAGAGGCAGGTGTGAATGACCGTGTTCTGGGTCTCCTCGCAGGTGGAGCTGGAGGTCACGCTGCCTGGAGAAGGGAAGGACCGCATCTTCAAGGTGTCCATCAAGTGGGTGTCCTGTGTGAGCTTACAGGCGTTACACGATGCACTTTCGGGGCGGCTGCCCAGCGTCCCCTTTGAGACGATCCAGGCCCTGGACGTGGTCATGAGGCATTTGCCATCGATGAGGTGAGGACCAAGGAGCCGGGAGCGTCTGCGCCTCACCCTGAGTGATGCCTGGCGAACGTGAAACCTCTCTCCAGGGAGGAGTGGAATTTGGAATCGGGGTAGCGATGGTCCTGGATTTTATGATGAAAATTATAAGGGGACTAACATGGAAAAAGTTTTAACATAAAAATAAACCAGCAGGGGCACCGGGCTGGCTCAGTCAATAGAGCATGTAACCCTTGATCTCGGGGTTGTGAGTTTGAGGCCCACGTGGGGCAGAGGGATGGCCTGTCTTTGTGCAGCCTGGCTGTCCTTTTTTCACTCAGCTGACTGTGTGAGCCGTGTCATGTTGCTCTGTGGCCTTCCCGCGTGGGACCTGTGGTCGCGGGAGGCCACCCCGGCCCCATACCCAGCCGAGCACCCTCCTCACGGACGGCTGAGACGGCAGGTGGCACGGCGCACCTGCCAGCTGTCTTGCTCCCCGGGGCTGCTGTGCTCCCCCAGATCGCCACGCCTGAACTTGGCGGGTCAGAGGGGAGGCGGACACTTGAGTGGCTCACAGTTTACCACATGGTGGGACTGCACTAATTCCTGCGTGAGGCCGGTTTGCCATCCCCAGACCTCAGGTTTCTGACCCAGGACGCCTGCTGCCTCCACGTGTGGGGCACTCAGTGGGGCCTCAGGGACAGAAGGAGAAATGAGCCCCGTGCCCCCCTCTCCGGGCACCGACAGAAGCCTGAGGTTTCAGGGGAGGGTGGGGCTGCCTCTGTCCTTGTAGGCACAAGAGTGGGTGCTCCGAAGCACCTTGTTAGATTTCTGAAGGGACCCTGGTGTTCTCAGCCTCCAGATTGGGTGGGGGTGACCGGATGCGAGGCAGGCTGTCCCTCCTGGCAGGGACCCCTCCTACCCCCGGCCCCCAGGGTAGAGTCCGTGAGTACTTAGGGCTGTTGTTGGCAGGGAAGCAGGTGAGTGCAAAAAAAAAAAAAACCCAGACAAGCAGTTGCCAAAATGTTGAATGTGTGTTTTAAACGGGTGGCAGGAGTTACTGTGAATTCTGATTTTTTACTTCCTGAGTTCTTTTGAATTAATTACCATGTTACTTTTATAATCAGGAGGAAAGCCTACTTTCATTATAGAAAAATAATAGAAAAAGGGGCAGGACGAGCTTGTCTGAGGGGGAGAGTGCGGGGCTCCCACGCACAGTCCCCTGGACGGTGCCCCCTGTAAAGGGTCATGCGGCCTCCACATATTGGCCACCATGTGGCCCGGGTGACCCGGCACCGTCGGCGCTGCTGCTCTGAGGACGCATCTGCTACGGCATCAAGGGGGCTCCCTGCCCTCCGCGCCCCGTCAGCAGCTGGCCCCTGGAAGGTGCTCGAGTCTCCTCAGGCACTTACCTTTCCATCCTGTCTCCTCCTCCCCATATAGGGGGGAGGGCGTCTCTCTGCAAAGGAGCTGCGTGTCCCCAGGGGATCCTGTGCCCCCCCCCCCCCCCCCCCCCCCCCCCGCCGCCATCCTGGGGCTGGTTCGGTCCCACGGTCTCGGCACACCCTCCCTACACGGCCTGTTTCTAGAAAGATGTGAGCCCCACGGCATCAAGGGGCGCGGGGCCCTGCGCAGCCACGCCTGTGTCTGGGGTCCAGCGCGCTGAGGACGCTGCTCGCCCTGCCCCACGGTGAGGCCGTGGTCCCCAGGGCTGTGCCTGCAGCGGCACGGCTCAGTGAGGGCGCCTCTGTGCGGAGAGGGCAACGGGGTCGTTGGCGACAGTGAGCGTTGGCCTGCGCGGGTGACATGTGAGCGGCACGCCTGACGCGCGAGGGGTCTCATTGCAGGTACACCCCCGTGGGCCGCTCCTTCTTCACGGCGTCCGAGGGCTGCTCCAACCCCCTGGGCGGGGGCCGGGAAGTGTGGTTTGGCTTCCATCAGTCCGTCCGACCTTCTCTTTGGAAAATGATGTTGAACATTGATGGTAAGCAAAGCCCCAGCCTTTGGGGGGGGGGGGGGGGGGCAGCGCCTGTGCGACCAGTTCCAAACATGGCCTCTGTCAGAGCCGGAGCTTCTGTGCCCACCTGGCCCCTCAGACCTGATCAGAGCCGCCTACAGGGCTCTCTGGAGATAGGGGCTCTGGGTGCCGAGGCGGCCCCCAGGGGCTGCATCTCAGGCGGGTCCCCGATGCGACCTTTCAACTCACCTTGTCATTTTCAGCCTGGTGGCTGACTAGGGGCCCGCCTCCCGTGCTGCCTTCACGCTGGCCTCCTCCAGGTTTGGGGGGCCCTGGCCCCCTGGGAGCCTCTCACGGTTGGGTCCAAAGTTGTGGTTGTTGTGATCTGCTGGGGGTTAGTGTAATCCTGATTTTATTCTCAGAGGGTGACTTTGGCCTGTACCGACCCCCTTCCTGTTGGCCATGACCTGTTGCCCCCTCTGGCTCTGTCCCACTGGTAAAGCCCGAAGGTGAACTCCAGGGCCCAGGCGGACAGAGCCCGGGTGGGCATGCAGGGAGCACCACCGGGCACCCCCCACACCCTGCTTTTGCTTTTTTCTCTTTTTCCCACCTGTAGTCTCAGCAACTGCGTTTTATAAGGCACAGCCAGTAATCGAGTTTGTTTGTGAAGTTTTGGATTTTAAAAGTATTGAAGAACAACAGAAACCTCTGACAGATTCCCAAAGGGTAAAGTTTACCAAAGAAATCAAAGGTGGGTGACTGCCTCGCACATCGGGCCGGGGCCCTGCGGCCCCGTCTGAAGTCCTGACGGGGATGGGGGAGCGGGCAAGAGAGGTTAGCCGTCAGATGACTTAGCACAGAGATAAATTGAACCCATTCACAGAGCAGGAATGATGATGTTCAAAATAAATGGATGTCTGTGTAGGGTGAGGTCAGTGACCAGTGGCATCCAGGTCACTGGCTGCTGGGACCAGAGAGCGCCGGTGTGGTTAGTCGGTACCTCACGCTGCTCTGGAGTGGGGACCACGCTCTCGGGTCTTGTCAGGTGGTCCTCACAATGGTGGCAGCCTCCACACCCACCAAGTCAGGGTTCCGCTCCAGAAGACGCGGCCCGAGTGCAGTGGCCTGGCTTGGGCCCAGCCTCAGAGGGGTGGCCGGCACCTGTCGCCCGCCTCACAGGTCATGTGTGCCTCCCCTCCCCCCTGCACCTGTCCTTCCCTGAGGGCTTTGTAAAGGCCATCACACTACCCATTGCTAAAAATAATCCTAGGGGAAGCGTAAAGTCTCAGCTGAGCCAACGTGGTCTCTTTCATCTTTAAGAGCAATGTCCAGCCTCTGGCCTTGGCATTTCTGGGGCTGAAGGCGTCCCCGTGGGTGAGAGGGGCCCAGCCCAACGGTCCCCCTCCCTCTCAGGGTAAGGACAGCCTCTGTGCAAGCTGGTGCCCAGGAAGAATCTTGACCCTGAAGCTGGGCTGCTCTGTATTGTCAGGTCTGAAGGTGGAGATCACGCACTGCGGGCAGATGAAGAGGAAGTACCGCGTCTGCAACGTGACCCGGCGACCCGCCAGCCACCAAACGTAAACGACCTTACTGTCCCACCCGCATGGGCGGTGGCGCTCGCTTCCACTGTGATGAGCATAGTGTAGAGCAGTGACCCTTCTGGAAAGGGTTATTTCATTCGAGCTAAAAATTCTAGCACTGAATCTCTGGCTCAGAGAGTTAAACTTCACCCGCTGACATAAAATATGGGCTGGGGACAGGTTGGCAGCTCCCTGTCAATTTTTCTTCTGGAATTTTTAGGCGAGAGAGGGTCGTTTTTGTTTGTTTTCCTGTCCTCAGTGCTGAGCTGGTGCTGGGAGGGAGCGGGGGTCCGGAGGCCCTGCCCTGTGTCCTGGCCCAGCGTTGGCCAGAATGCACCCAGACCTTTCTGTCCTCATTTGTCCCGAAATCCTTGCATATAGTGTAGACACCTGTGGCCTCTGGTTATTGCATGTTACATGCGTGTGAGAAGTCTTCATTTCCCAACTCCAGGGGAGACGGGATGGGTTAGGAACTATTTACCCAGAGGGCATGGTTTGGTTCTGACCCCTTGAAGGTCCCTGATCATGTGCCCCACACATCACCATACGCCTCGTTCAGCCCCCAGCAATCAGCCCCAGGGGAGCTGGCCACATGCAGGTCCACGGCCTGTCCCCGGGGGCCCGGCCTGACCCCTTCTGTGTCCCCCCAGATTCCCGCTTCAGCAGGAGAGCGGGCAGACGGTGGAGTGCACGGTGGCCCAGTACTTCAAGGATAGGCACAAGCTGGTTCTGCGCTACCCCCACCTCCCATGTTTACAAGTCGGACAGGAGCAGAAACACACCTACCTTCCCCTCGAGGCAAGTCCGGGCCCCTCCGTGCTGTCCACATGTGGGCAGGGCAGTGTAGACAGACACCAGCCGAGGAAGTGTGGGCAGGGCGGTGTAGACAGACACCAGCCGAGGAAGTGTGGGCAGGGCAGTGTAGACAGACACCAGCGGGAGGGCCCCACCTCTGGTCGTGCTTCTGCCCAGGCCTCAGGCCAGTGCCCGGGCCGCCTGTCACAACTGTTCCCCGTGAATGAAACTGAATGAGTGAACGAAACGGTGCGAGGACTGTCACGTGTCCCTGGAGGCCATGCCCTGCACCCAGCAGGCCCCTCCCACAGGGTAGAAGATGCTCAGAAAAGCTACAGTTTCTTAACGCCTCCTCTAAGATTCCCTTCCTGCTGGAAAAATCCTGGGAAGAGTAAATGCTAAAACTAAGGCCCCGATTTTAACTCTTTCGTGTCAGTAACTTAAATTCTCTCTCCCTGTCCCATTACTCAAACCCCCAGCCAGTTTTCCTGCGCTCCGGTCCAGGAGGCCAGCCTCATTCCCGTCAGCAGGCAGCTTCATGCCCCCGCCCCGGGAGGGTCCTAGGTCCTGTGGGTGCCGGGCTAGGCTCACCCAGGAGCCCCCAGGCAGCCCCCAGGCGTGCTGTTCTGGTGGGTTCGGGGGCAGACACCGCATCGGAGAACAGGGAGAGCCATCGCCCAGCCCCCCCAGCTCCTGCTCCCCCTCCCAAGCTCAGCCCCTGCACACCCCCCCCCTCAACAGTGCCAACGCCCTGGGTCTCTCATTCCTAGGTCTGCAACATAGTAGCAGGACAGAGATGTATCAAAAAGCTGACCGACAATCAGACCTCAACCATGATCAGAGCTACTGCAAGGTCAGCGCCAGATCGGCAAGAAGAGATTAGCAAGCTGGTGAGCGTCCGGGGCCCAGGGCCTGAGGCCAGCCCTAGGGTGGGGACCCCCGGGGACTGTGGGGCAGGAGAGCCCCTGAAGCTTCGGGTGAACACAGCTGCTTTCTTTTTTCCTCTTCAAGATGCGAAGTGCAAGTTTTAATACAGATCCGTATGTTCGTGAATTTGGAATCATGGTCAAAGACGAGATGACAGATGTGACTGGCCGGGTCCTCCAGCCGCCCTCCATCCTCTACGGGGGCAGGGTACGTGCGTGGCAGGGGCAGGGGTGGCGGGTGGGGGGGGCTGCCTATGGGTGTCTGTGACCTGTCTGCCGCTCAGTGATGGAGCAGTATCTTTTGACGCCACTGAGGCCGGACGCATGACCAGAAGTGTAGACCGTGGTCCAGGTGAGGGATTCCTCCCACTCCGGGCCAAGCCGGTGCACGTTAGGGGGCCTCGGGAAGGACGGGTTTGCCTGGGTGATGTCAGAAGTTTTCCAGAATTACCCTTTATCTTTTCAGCAGGTGATTTTTATTATCCCATCAACATCTAAAAACATTATTCTTTGTGTGATGGGCCAGTGACGAATTATTTTCCAGAAGTGTATACTGCTTTTCTGTTTTCTTAACTTCTGTTTCAGAGGAATTTGTTGGCAGGCAGAGCCGTCAGTCGCTCCTGTGTCTGCTCGTTTGTTGTTGCCCATGAAATGCCTGGCTCCATCAGTGCATAGTGAGGCGTGCTGTCCGCGAGCCCTGACAGAGCTCGTGAGCAGGGTCTTCGTGCTCTCCCTCGGGGCCGGCCCCCCAGGTGAGGAGCACAGGCCTGCTGGGGCCTTAGCCTCACAGACCGCGGGCTCTCACGGGAGCATTCTAGGGGACTCTGGACCTTTGACGCTTGTCCTCAGGACCGGTGGCAAGGTCTGGTTTTGTTTGTAGGGTTTTCCCCTTTCTTACTATAAAACACAGGCTTTGCTTTTTCAAATGTTCCAGAGTTCAGAGGCGCCTGGGTGGCCAGCCAGTTGAGTGTCCGACTCTTGATTTCGGCTCAGGTCATGATCCCGGGGTCATAGGCTTGAGCCTTGAGTCAGGCTCCGTGCAGACAGCACTTGGGATTCTCTCTCCCTCTCCCTCTCTCAAAAATGAAATCAAATGTTCCAAACTTCATAAGGTACACAGAACTACAGGAAGGGGGCACTTGGCTGGCTCAGTCGGAAGAGCATATGACTCTTGATCTTAGGGTCATGACTTCGAACCCCACCTTGAGCATGGAGCCTACTTAAAAAAGAAAACAAAGAATTACAGGAAGAAATCTCTTTCCCTCCGTCTTGGGTGGTTTCCCAGGAAGTGATTGGTGTTCTCTTTATCCTTTGTAAAAATGCCTAGGCATTACTTACAATTTTTTTCCATCCCTTCTGGTGCAGATAGTGATGTATGAAATACGCTTCTTTTCACTTAAAACTTTCTCGTAGAGCCCGTAGAGGTCTTGGAGACGGCTGCGTGCATACGTGATGCAAGGCGTGTTCATTCTGCCTCTTACTGCACGGTGTTCCGCGTGGGGGTCCTGTCCTGGTCCCCATCCTCTAAAAGAGGACTTCTGAGCAAGGCTCACGTGTGAGCCTGTGTCCGGACACCGTGCAAACATAGCACCTTTTTGAACCCTTCTTGCAATTGTGGGAGGAAGAGCGTTTGATTCTTTTCACAAGTAGGTAGAGATGCCTAGAAGGGCCCGCATTACGTAGTGAAACCAAGATCACAAATCTGGTGGTTTTTCACTGCCCCAGCACACGCCTGTGTCAACATTCTGCGTCTTAGTAAATACAGGAATGATCTGGAAAATAAAGTTACTCTTGTAATCTTATCTTGCAAAAACATTAGAATGGTAGGCATTGAAGATTTATAATGCCTCTTTAAAAATTTGTTTTAATGTTTATTTATTTATTTCGAGAGAGCACACGCAGGTAAGCAGAAAGGCAGGGAGAGAGGAGAGAATCCCAAGCAGACTCTGCGCTGCCAGCACAGAGCCAGATGTGGGGCTCAGTCTCATGAACTGTGAGATCGTGACCCAAGCCCAGGTTAAGAGTTGGACACTTAACCGACTGGGCCACTCAAGTGCCTCTCTGGTGAACAAATTGTTCCAGATCTCCAAAGCATTTTAATGAGAGCAGATGAGCCTCATCACCATATTCCTTGTCCATTCTCAGAGCAAAACATTAAATGGCCCTCAGGGCACGTTTGGCAATGCCTGGAGGCTGGGGTCTGATGACAGAGACTTGTGGCATCCTGCAGTGCCCAGCGTCGCCCAGATGTCAACCGCGCTGAGGTTCAGAAACGCGGTGTTGCTGGAGCCCATGTCTGTGAAGCATGTGTTTGCTGAGCCTGGAACAGCAGACTGGTGGTGGTGCCTTCTCTCACTCACGGAGCCAGTGGGGCCACAATAGGCTTGTGTTACTTTTGTAAATTAAAAACGTTTCCCACTAAAAACAACTGAATGACAGGGACTCAGATGCCCACGGCGTTGGTGGTGCCCGCAGGCCTGAAGAGCCCCGCCCTCCTCCCCGGGGCCCCTCCCGATTGTCCTTGTCCTCCAGAATCACTGCAGGGAATTCAGAGATTGCTTGGCTGGTGGTGCTGAAGCCTGGTCCTTCCTGGTTGGAAGGTGACAAAATCAGGTGGACGCGTCGCTTGCTGTTCACAAGTGGGAATAGCTTCCGTTCCCTGAACAGCCACAGGCAGTGGCGCGGGGAGTGGAGTGGAGGGGTCTCAGCTGGCCCATCTGCTCCCCGGCTCGGGACCGGGAAGAAGCACCTTGTCTTCCCTTCCCTGGCTGTGTCTGTGATCACAGAGGAGGTAAAATAAATGAGAGTATGTTCTGAACCAGGAAGCCTTCCTGTAGCATCCCAGGGAACTTCCATTCTTCCAGGCTACCCTTGAGGTTGGGTGCACCTCTGGGCCTCTCTGCAGTCCTGGGCCTGTATCCACTCCTCCCTCCATGCGCCCTTCCTCTGTCTACCCATCCCTCCATCCCTCCATCCCTCCTTCATCTCCCATCCACCTCTTCACTTGCCATTCCATCCAGCCCTCCCTCCCTCCATCCTTCCTCCGCTGTCCCTGAATCCGTCACCCCATCCATTCTCAGTCTACACGTCCATCCATCCATCGCCTCCCATCCACCTCTTTATCCACCTGTCCGTCCTTCCGTCCTTCCTTCCATCCTGGCCCATACCACCCTGGTATCCCTGGCCCACTTGCAGAGCTGGGCAGGTCAGTTCCCAGCCTCAGCAGCACCATCTGGTTGGGGAATCAGCGGAGGTGGGGAAAGAAACACAGTCCAAGTTCAGAAGGTTGGGTTTCCCATCTTCCCTCACTCTAAATGTCTTGCTGTTTGCAGAATAAAGCGATCGCCACCCCTGTCCAGGGCGTCTGGGACATGAGGAACAAGCAGTTTCACACGGGCATTGAGATCAAGGTGTGGGCCATTGCCTGCTTCGCTCCCCAGCGCCAGTGCACGGAGGTCCACCTGAAGTAAGGCCGCTTGTGGGGGTGGAGCAGATGACGGGGGGGGGGGGAATAGGCGGGGCCGCTGGGGGACAGCTTGGTGTCTGTAGCAGGAGTGGCAGCCTTTCCCTGCCCCAGAGCGAATGTCTGGGGTGGGCCTGGCCAGGAGACGTGGGCGCCTCGAGGCTGCTTTTACTTTTCAGACTCCCTAGTGGAGGGAGAGTGGAGAAGCAGTGCAGATTATGTAAGAAATAAAACAGAAAGTGAAGAATAAGTTTGAAAATTAGACACAAAAAAGAAAATTATATTAGGTGAATTCAAGTTACTTTAAGAAAACACTTCAGGGAGGGGCGCCTGGGTGGCTTAGTCGGTTGAGCGTCAGACTTTCGCTTAGGTCATGATCTCGCGGTTCGTGGGTTCGGGCCCCGCGTCGGGCTCTGTGTTGACTGCCAGCTCGGAGCCTGGAGCCTGTTTCAGTCTGTGACTCCCTCTCTCTCTGACCCTCCTCTGCTCACGCTGTCTCTCTCTCTCCTAGAAATAAATAAAAACATTAAAAAAAAAAAATTAAAAAAAATAGAAAACACTTCAGGGGCGCCTGGGTGGCTTAGTCAGTTAAGCGTCCGACTTTTGCTTAGGTCATGATCTCGCGGTTTGTGGGTTCGAGCCCCGCGTCGGGCTCTGTGCTGACTGCCAGCTCAGAGCCTGGAGCCTGTTTCGGTCTGTTACTCCCTCTCTCTCTGAGCCTCCCCTGCTCACTCTGTCTCTATCTCTCCTAGAAATAAATAAAACATTAAAAAAAAAAAAAAAAAACACTTCAGCTTCATATTTCTGATATCCTCCTGGCCTGGCCGCAGACCCTTAGTTTGCACCAGACCCATGCAGCTTTGGGGCGCCAGGGCCTCTACATCTCACCTTAGGTCCTAATCTCAGGCCATGAGTTCAAGCCCTTGCACCGGGCTGCGCACTGGGCATGAAGCCTACTTAATAATTAAAAAATAAAAACCATAGAGCTTCGTTACTCATGCTTTTGCACCAAACAAACCTCACAGGGAGAAGAAAGCTTTTGCTTCCCACCTGTCTTGGGTGGAAACAGGAAGAAACTCAAAGCCTGAAAAGTATAACTGTTGACATTGTAGCCGAGGGTGGTTCTGAAAAGCAGTGGCTCAGAAAGTTCTTGAGAGCTGACGTCCAGGAGACAGGCTGTCAGAGGTGTCCTCCACGCCACCAGCAGAATTCGCTGGAAGCACAGAGCAGCTTAGCTAAGAAGCAAGCAGGTTAGGGCCTGAACACCAGGTGCCTTTCTTCCCCGCGCCCTGGCCTTGGCTGCTTCGTTTCACGTTGCCTGGAGCCAGACGGCCCCGCAGCACATCCACCTGTAGACAGAACTGCACTCAGACGGGGGTCGAGCCCTGGCTCCACTGGATCACAGTGTCCTCGCCCTTACTGTGGAAGGCGGTGCTATTTTTATTCCGAAGTTTAAAGTAGCAGCTGCTGATCCGTGTCCCCCCTCCCCCACCGTGGCTTCACCAGGCCTGTTGGCAGTCACTGCTGGTGTCACCGTGGTGTGGGTTTGTCTGGTTCTCTCCCACGACTGTCGCCCCAGTCAAGTTGTACGCACAAGAATAGCGGGGGACCCAAGGGGACGGGCCATTCACGGTTTTCCTCTCTGACGTTATTGGCCGTTCACGGAGTCCTGGCGTCTGTGCCGGAACCGGGGAGCCAGCTGGCCCTGCCAGGCCAGTGGCAGCTGCTCCGTGCATGCTCTAAAGGGACAGCACTGTCGCCACACCCGGAGTGTCACAGGGTGAGGCACACGGGTGTGTGTGGTTGGAAGTCATCTGTTTTATCGAGGCAGAATAGCCGCAGGTGACTTTTCCTTACCTCACACGTGTCCTCAGCACACCCCACCTGTTTCCTTGCATACCCCACGCGTGCACTCAGCGTGCCACACCTGTGTACTCAGCATACCCCTTTTCCATAGTTAGCATGTTGACAGCCACGTCCAGATCTTGAACCTAGATTCTGATGGCAATGAAAATGGTTTGGGGTTGCTTGTTAAAGCTGTGCCCTTGACCTGGGGCCTCTGGCTGGTCTGGATGCTTTACTCCCTGTGCATTCAAGTCTAATGAAACTTCTCCTCCAGATCCTTCACGGAGCAGCTCAGAAAGATCTCGCGGGACGCCGGGATGCCGATCCAGGGCCAGCCGTGCTTCTGCAAATACGCCCAGGGGGCGGACAGCGTGGAGCCCATGTTCAGGCATCTGAAGAACACGTACGCTGGCCTCCAGCTGGTGGTGGTCATCCTGCCTGGCAAAACCCCCGTTTACGGTAGGCTTGGTGGCCCCACTGGCTTTGCTCGTGACCTCCGTGGGTGTAGCGCAGCCGGAGCCCTTTGTGGTTTTGCCGCATCAGGGGGTGCTCCTTTCTGGCCCATCCGTGAGCTAAGAAAGATGGGGGTCTGTGATGGCTGCCGCCCGCACTGGTCGCATCCAAGGCCAGAGGTCCCAGAGGCGAGCACGTGCACCCCACCCAACATGATGGTGGCTGGACGGAGGAAGGTTCGTCCAGTGCACACACAGTGATGGCCGGGGCCACCGTCCGTCATCCTCCATGTGACATCTCTGTGCCCGCCTCAGAGCTTTCTGGAAGCTCAGCAGAGTCCTTCATACCAGAGGGCGGTTGCTCATCCATTCATCTGATGCTTATCTGGCGCCTCTGATGCTGCCCCAGGCCTAGAGAGTTCAGAGAGAGACAAGGCCTAGCCCCCTATCAGGAAGCCCCAGGGCCATGGTGCGTATAGACTGGTGACCTCAGGGCAGGCGAGGTGGCTGTTGGAGAGCCATCGAAAGCTAAGGGTTGGGGGGATCGCCTGGAGGGCTCAGTCGGTTAAGCATCTGACTCTTGGTTTTGGCTCGGGTCAATGATCTCACGGTTTGTGGGATCAGCCCCACGTTGGGCTCTGGTGCTGCTATTGCAGAACCTGCTTGGGATTCTCTTCCTCTCTCTTTCTCCCTCCCTTGCTCCTGTTCTGTCTCTCAAAATAAATACACATTTTAAAAAGAGAAAAGAAAAAGAAAGCCCTCTGGGAGCCCAGAGGCGCCCAGTGGAGGAGGTGTTGGAATGAGAACCCAGGGGCATGTGGGGTGCCCTGAGGCTCCCCAGCTGCTTCCCAATTAGACAGTGACAGAACCAGGTGCATAAAAGCCACACAACCCGCCCCCCCAAGCTGCGAACGCAAAGAGCAACGAGAACGCCATCAGCGTTCCCGTCCGCACGTCACCTGTTTCCCAAGCGAGCAGCCGACAGCTGCTTCTTGAAAGAACCCAGAACCAGGGCTGAAGCCTAGATAGCTCTTTGATGTCAGGCTTGCATTTGCTGTGGATTTTGGGGATGCCAGTGTCTTTATTTTTAACCACGCTGTGCACCATGACAGAGGGTGGGCGGGCCTCGCCCTCCCTTCCAGCCTGGCTGTGCCCAAACCGCCCGCCCACAGCCCTGGAAGCTGCCGAAATGGCCTTCCTGCCTGCTGAGGAGTGAGCCCCCCACCACCCTGACCCAGAGGGCCTGGGTGTGACTTCCCTGCGCCATGGGCCACAGGTGCGGCTGCTAGGGTCGCGCGTTCTCACCTGGGTCCCCGCAGGGGTGGGGGGCGGGGGGAGGTGAGGGCTCGTTAAGGCAGAGGCCTGGCGAGAGCTGCCAGTGAGTGCATGGTTGGTTCCACAGCCGAGGTCAAGCGCGTGGGAGACACAGTGCTGGGGATGGCCACGCAGTGTGTGCAGATGAAGAACGTGCAGCGGACCACACCGCAGACCCTGTCCAACCTCTGCTTGAAGATCAACGTCAAACTAGGAGGCGTGAACAACATCCTGCTGCCCCAGGGGAGGTGAGGATCCCCCCCCTCACGCACACTACCTGCCACGCGTGGGCCGTCAGCGTGATTCCCGGTGGGCTGCAGCAGTGCACAGGCCGGCCACCGTCCTGGGCGCAGCCCACCGGGAAGCAAGGCACAGGTTCGGCGGCTCGCAGTTGAGGGAAAATGGGAGTCTGCAGGTCACAGGGTGCCGCGGCCAGGTTCCCTGAATGACGTGAGGGCAGAGAAGGGCCCAGGGGTCCTGACGCAGGGGGGTGGGGGGGCAGTGGTGTCGTGACGGGAGTGACGGGGCAGAGCCCAGCTCAGCTTGAGCGGCTGGGACATGAGCCTCCCTGGTGACAGCTCGCCTCTGGAGCGGGAGACGGGCCAGGCCGGTGACGGAGGCTACCTGATGCGGGCAGAGCAACTGTTGGCAAATCCCAGGCCAGGGTCAGGATCAGGGGCTGGCAGGGGAGGGGAGGGGAGGGGAGGGGAGGGTGGGGCTGCAGGGTACCCCTGGCCTGTCATGGGGCCCTGGGCGCTTGAGGGGCGGGCTAGGGTTAGCTTTTGTCCCTCCCGAGGGCTGGCCAGCCTCTGCTGCAGCGAAGAGGTGTCTCCGTGATGACAGTGAGGAGATTTTCTCGGCGAAGGATCTTGGCAGTGGGGTTAACGTCTGAAGGGGAAGCACGGGTAAAAGCAGATTACTGGCCATACCCCCCCTCCGGGAACCACACTGCCCTCGGGTAGAAGTGGCACTCGGAGGACCCAGCGGCTATCGCCACTCCCGTGTGTCTGGGGGAGAGGGGCTAGGAGGCACCCGCTGTGCGGGGAGCCCCCCAGCCTGCCCTCGGGCTGCCCCACCTGGGGGAGCATCGGAACTCCTTCGGGCCTTGTTAAGCCGCGGAGGTTCTGACCGGCACCTGTGGGCCGGGCGCAAGTGTTGACGCTCCTAGCAAGCCCGCAGCGATGGGGTGGCCCAGGGACCACACCCCAAGGAGGCCCAGTGACGCTGTGAGGCGGCTTTAGTAGGTTGCCGCCGTGTGGCGGGGAAGTGCAAAGAGCCTGGGGTTAGAGCCTGACAGACTGGAGCGTGGAGACTGGCCCTGCCAGGCGAGGCCCATCCGCTCAGGTTGTGGGAAGGAGGGAGGGGCCGTGACGGGCAGGCTGGGGGCTCAGCGCGCCCCTGGCTCAGCGAACAGGCCCTGGGTTGTCAAGCTCGGGCCATGGCAGGGAGTACAGGAGGCGGAGTCCCAGCCCTTCCCCAGGAGGACCCAGCACGTGGGACCTGATGGGAGCGCCAGTGACATCACGGGAGGGATGACGGGCCCGGGAGGTTGAGGAGCAGGGGCTGCTGTGGCCAGGCTGCCGGGGAGGGCGGCCCTGAGCAGAAGGTGGCAAAGGGCCGAGAGCCCCCGAGGCTGCTGGCAGGGGTCGGGGGAGCCCCCGCAGCCGGGCTGGACGCAGCCCCCGGAGGGCCCTGGTCGAGAAGGCTGCTCCCGCTGCAGGTGGAACGGGTCCAGTGGCACCTGCGTCGTCTCGGAGGGGTGCCATTGGTGTGGGCAGGGAGGGGGTGGGCAGGGAGAGGGCCCAGAGACGGGCGTTGGGAAGACAGCGCTGCAGCGCCTGCTTGCGGGTTGGGCTGGGCTGCGAGAGAAACGGGACAAGTGTGCTGGAGGGAGGCTCACGGGTGGGGGGTGGGGACAGGGGTCTGGGTTCAGGGACCGTGTTCAGGGCAACCCAGCAGAGCAGAATTAAATCCACAGGCTGACGAGATCTCAGATCCCCCAGGGCAGGGTGTAGACAGGATGGATGCTAAGCCTCCTACCCTGGGGAGTTCAGAGTTAAAAGGTTGTGGAGACAGGGAGCCAGCAGTAGAGCCCCACCCTCTCACCCCACCCCCAAAAGGAGACCCATTGGGTCCTGGACCCTAGGGCAGTGCTCCCTGTGTCACATGGTGCTGCCACAGAGCCTAGTGCCGTGTGGGGGCGGGGACCTGGGGAAGAGTCTTGTTGCCACGGCAGCAGGAAGTCTGGTGGGCGGGGCCTGCGGCTGGTTGGGAGGTGCTGACTGGGTTGAGCTCATGAGGACTGGGGACTAGGGAGACCACTAGGGGGAGGAGGGCGCCTGGAGGGAGCCAGTTCACAGGCAGGTGGGGTCTTCCTTGTTGAAGGTGTGAGTCAGAACTGCTATGCAGACGCCAGGAGTGAGGAAGCAGGGAGAAGGGGTGGAGGGGAGGGGGCAGCGCTGAGCAGACTGCTCCTGCTGGAGCCTGTCCCTGGACCCTTCACACTGGGGAGAGCGAGGCGGGGGCTGGACCCCAGAGGCACACAGAGAGGGGTTGGGCGGCGCTGTCCGGAGCAGGGCCTGGAGGCCGTCGGCACCACCTCCCCTGAGCCCGTCCCCTCCACACACGCAGTGGCGGCAGTGACCACGCGGTGCCTGCGCACCTGCCTGTGCCCTGCTTCGATGTCCCAGGGACCTCAAGGGGAAGAGCCCCCCCCAGGTGTGCAAACCCACGTGGCACACACACTTGAAGCCCTTCCCCCACCTCTTGGCTCCGGCGGTGGAGCTCTGTCCCACCAGAGCCTGCAGGGGTCGTTCCCCCCCCCCCACTCCCCCGTGACCTCACCTCCTGCCTGGGCTGGCGAGTGCATGGTGGTTCCTGTCACTGAGCAGGAAGGACACTGGAGTCAGCAGCCCCTAGCAAGCGTGGCGGAAAGCACGGACATGCGTGTGCTCGTTCAGTCCTCACAACGACCATGGGAGGGAAATACTCATGTTGTCTCCATATTCCAGAAGGGAAAAGTAAGCCATAGAGAGGGTGAGCTTCAGACCGCAAAGCTAGCGAGTGACCCCATGCTCGCAGCTGGTGTGCACACGGTCTTTTGGGAAAGGTGCTAGAACACAGCGTTTCAAAGAGGCGGGGAAGCCCTCGGTGTGCCGCTCGCCTGGGGCAGACCCCCTCCCCCCCCCACCCCGGAAACAAGTGGTGATGTCTGGAGAGATTTCTGGGTGCCGGGACAGGGTGGGGGGTGACCCGGCCCCACGCTACGGCCGAGCCCCGGGAGACCCGGGAAGGGGGGCTGGAGTCCAGTGTATTCGATCACTGCGGACACGGCCAGGTGTTTACAGACAGATCCCTGACCCCGGCCTCTCCAGCTGTCCACACCCGGCCAGTGTTGGTAGTCTATACCCCCAACCCCACCCCTCCCGCACTGGGTTATTCAGAAGCAGGTCTCAGACCCTGCGTCACTTTACCAGCGAGGACTTTGGTACAGGCCCTTAAAGCATCAGACCTTTTTAAACACATACCCACGGTGCCTGTGCCCCACAAGTGACGCTGGCACCCGTGTCCTTGGGGTCCAGACTCAAGGTGCTCCCGCTTCCTCTGCAGGCCGCCTGTGTTCCAGCAGCCCGTCATCTTTCTGGGGGCTGATGTCACCCACCCGCCCGCTGGGGACGGGAAGAAGCCTTCCATCGCCGCCGTGAGTATCCGCGCTTCCCGCCAGGTCCTCTGTTGGTGACGTCCTACGCCGCGTGGGACCCTCGCCCTGGCCCAGCCGCCTGCAGGACCAGGGCACGTGGTGCCCTTGCAGCGTGTGGCCAGAGCGTCATGGGAAACGGGCATTTGGAGGGGATGCTGCACGTGGCTACCTACCTGTGTCCGGGAAGCAGTGGGTCCACCCCACCGGGAGGCCCGGCCAGACCACACAGGTTTGGTGGCAGGGAGCCCGGCGGTGCAGTGGCTCCCGTCCTGCAGGGCCCTGCCTGTGGCCCAGGCTCCCGGCGGCGCTCTGGCCACTGGGTCGGATGCTGCAACTAGGGTTTTTTTTTATGTCGCACCTCCTTCTCCATGTTTTCTGCTTCTATTGAAAACACTAAATATGAAGTAATTACACCATCCAGAATTCATTGCAGCCCCTTCCCTCGTTCTGCCCGTGAGTTCCGTCAGGGCGTCAAGGGGACTCCGCTCCACAGGCCCCGAGCCCCGTGCTTCCCATGCGCTAGCTGGCCGTGTCCGGCCCCCAGTGGCTGAGTGAGGTGCCCACTCTGTGCCCATGGCTGCTGCTCTCAGAAGGGACGATGCACTCAGAGTAGAGTGGACTTGGCCTGTGGAGCGCAGCGCGGGGTGCTACCCCCGAGGTGTCTGACGGGACGCCCCGTGTCCTGCAGCCACGTGGAGGGAGGGAAGCCTCGGGCTCAAGGTGTGTGTCCCCGGCATCTCCAGCGGGCACTGCCAAGTGACTTCTGGGCTGCGGTGGGGTCTGTCATTGGCCTGACACCATCGAACGTAGCTTGTCACCCTCCAGAGCAATCTAAGAATGTTGCCACTTTCTGAGCACCTGCTGCGTGCCAAGCTGTGGGCCGGGTACATAATTACACTGAGTCATAATCTCGTGGGGTCACTATTAGTCTCCTCAGTTTACATGTGAAGTCCAGAAAAGCCAAACTCCGTTGCTGGAGAGAAACTTTGGAAAACCCAGCTCAAGACCTCCTGAGGCTGAGGCTGAGGTCTGAGCTCTGTGGGGCGATAGGGGCTGCCGTGCCCTCAGGCCCCCGTGTGGAGGGGCTTTGAGCCACCTGTCCTAACGCTTGATAGAGCAGCCACAGAGGCAGGCCCCTGACGTGTCACATGTGTGGACAGAGCCTCCCTCCGGCAGCCCGGTGCTCCTCTCTGAGGCACGTCTGATCAGGGGGCGGGGAGGGGGGGTGCTGATCCCCAGCGGGAAGGCCAAGACCCCCAGGAGGTGCAGGCTTCCCCAGGGACCATTGTGGGCCCCCAGCAGGGCGTGTCTAGAGTTATTCAGGGGCCGTGTTCCTTTATCCAGTTAGCGTTAGGTCATGGGCTTCCTCCTGCTTAGCTCGCAGTCCAGACCCCTGTGCTTCTTACCAGTACTGGCTTTGACCTTGTTAAATAATTTTCAGCCCCTTCTTGTTTGATTGGCAGAGAACACAGCAGCCCCAGGGCGGAAGTGTGTCCTGTTCCCCCGGCTGCTTCTGGTCGGCACCTTCAGGCAACTGCTTCCGTGCCAGTGTGCCTTCGGGATGGCCTGCCGTTCTGCGGTTCAGAATCTTGGGATGTGCACTGATACGCAGATAGCTTCTCTGAGTGAGCAGTGAGCTTCGAGAAAACTAGGGAGCCCGACACAAGTTGTTTTCTTGGGGCTGGTGTTATTCAGCCCCATGTGGTCACAAGCAGAGTAAAGGTTCAGAATAATTGCCTATTTTTTATCAGATACTTTCAGCAAACTTTTTAAAAACAAATTTAATGTTTATATTTGAGAGGCAAAGCATGAGCAGGCGAAGGGGAGAGAGAGAGGGAGACACAGAATCCGAAGCAGGCTCCAGGCTGTGAGCTGTCGGCACAGAGCCCGACGCGGGGCTCGAACCCATGAACCAGGAGGTAACGACCTGAGCCGAAATCGGATGCTTAGCCGACTGAGCCCCCCAGGCGCCCGCACATTAACCAGATGTTTATTCCCCCCAGTGTGTTTATGACCGCTGCTGCCCACGTGCTGAAAAGAAACGTGAAGGCAGCAGGTTAACATCTGACAAGCAGCCGTGCCTTCACCACGATGTGAAGTGGAGGGTGGAGGCAGGCCCCTTCCCCAGCACACGCCCACAGTAGGGGGCTTCCGGGAAGCCCCCCCCCAGCACGGCCTGCGTGTCCCCGCAGGTGGTGGGCAGCATGGACGCGCACCCCAACCGCTACTGCGCCACCGTGCGGGTCCAGCAGCACCGGCAGGAGATCATCCAGGACCTGGCCACCATGGTCCGCGAGCTCCTCATCCAGTTCTACAAGTCCACGCGCTTCAAGCCGACCCGCATCATCTTCTACCGCGACGGCGTCTCGGAGGGGCAGTTTCAGCAGGTGGGCCGCCTCCTGCTTTCCCTGTCTGTGGTCTCAGCACGCCTCGGGGTCACCCGTCTGTCCTGCACGGCAGCTTGTCTGGTTCTCTGGTGCAGACGGTGACCCGGTTTCCACCCGCCCCACAGTTTACCTGGCCAGAGCGTGGACGGTGGTGGCTGTGCCGGGATGGGGTGGGGGGGCTCCGGGCCTCAAGGGCAGTGCGGGGAGGTGGAGTCTGGGTCAGCACGTGCAGCACACGGACTTGGCTGTGGGAGAGTCTGTAGGGTGGGGACGTGATCTTGTCTGGGGGACGCCGTGTGCAGTGTGAAAGGCGGGCTGCAGGGTGGAGGCCACAGAGGCAGGTGGGGGCCCTGTGGAAGGAGGGTTAACGGGACTGGCCACCATGCAGATGTGGAGGGATCGGCCGTATCTCGGGTGACGTGTGGATCGCGGGCCCGGCTGGCTGCCCTCAGACACGGGGAGCGGTGGAGGAGAGGCGAGGGAGCGGGTGTGGGGAGACTGTGCTCTGCTCCTGTCTTCCCTCCCTGTGAGGTGACCTATGGTCGGCATCGAACCCGTCTAACCCGAGCTCGGGGGCTCAATCCCCAGCGGTCTCCTCCACGCTGGTGCAAGCTAGTTCCAGCTGGGCATCCGCCCCGTCCCCGCACGTGCCTCCTGGGGGACGCTGGCAGGGAAGGCAGCAGATGCCAGGGCCCATGTCCCATCCTGTGGGAGAAGGGTTCCGGGGGGAGGGGATCCTGGGAGCCGCGCCGGTGTGTCCCAGAGGCCCCCGGGCTCCCTTGACAGACAGGCTGGGTGGCACCTGACTAGGCGTGAGCAGGACTGCCTGGGCCTTCCTGGTCCAGAGTAGAAGCAGCAGCTCGACCCCCTGAGGCCCACGGTTGGGTTGGCGGGAAGAACAGAATCGACACTTGTGACCGGGGCTCCTCAGAGCTGGGGTGGGGGGCGGGGGCCAATGTGTGCCAGGCGACCTTGAAGGCACCTCTTGTGCAGAACCTCTCGTGTTCCCTCGGTCGGAGATGTTCCCCTCGCTTCTGTGCCCCCAGCCCCCTCACCCTCGGCCACGGCCATCCCTACTAGGAGGGGTCTGTGCCTTTCTGTCCTTGTCACTCTGTGAACTTACGGGGGTCTTACAGTGGGCATTTGTGAAGCGTCATAGCATGACCTCTAATCAGGACACTGGTTAGAAATCTAAGGTGCGTGGCCCCTAGGGTAGCCCTCACCTGACCATGAGACGCTGTTTGCCCGCTTACCTCGGGAACAAGCGTGGGAACAGCGTCTACTGTCATTGCGCCTGGCTGCCGGGCGCCATGTACCAGGCGCTGTGTGTGTTACTTTAGTCTTCACAGCAAGCCTACAAGGCGTAGGATGTTCCCGTTTTAGAAGTGAAAAAAGTGGGCATCAGAGAGGGTATGTGGCCTTCCCAAAGCCACAAGGCTACTGGGTGGTAGGGCCAGGGTTTGAACTCCACTCTAGCTCCCAGGCCAGTGTGCATTCTACGAGAGTCCCCCCTCCTCTCCAGTATTTGTTCCTGCATCTGTCTCCCTTTGTGCCTCGTTACTCCCATGTACAGTGGATGCTAGTCACTGAGCACGTAGAACATTCCAGAAAACGTTCTGGGCAGTGTAATGCATTATCTCATTTAAACAACTTAACCACAAGGGCTCATTTGCTCAATTACATAAACGAAAAAGCACAGTGGAAGGCAGAGGCTCGCAGGTGTTAAGAGCCCGGTTGCGTGTTGTTTCTGAGCTCCGGAACTCGCCAGACAGCACGTGTCACTAAGGGGTGCGGTCTGAGGTAGAAAGAGAAATGCCATGAAAGCACAAGAATCCGCAAGCATGTTTTCTCTTCCCCCCACCCCCAGGTTCTCCACCATGAGTTACTGGCCATCCGCGAGGCGTGTATTAAGCTGGAAAAGGACTACCAGCCAGGGATCACGTTCATAGTGGTACAGAAGAGGCACCACACTCGGCTTTTCTGCACCGACAAGAACGAGAGGGTGAGGCTCGGTCAGGAGGGCGGCCCTGGGATGTGGGGCCGCAAGAAACGTGGGTCTCTGCTCAGCTGTCCGCCTGCGCCGCCCTGCAGAGTGCCGGTGCCGTCCCCGCTGTGGTCCTGGGGGGTTTCCGTGGGCACCCAGCCTCGGGCACTAGAGAAGGGCCCTCCTCAGTCTGGTGGGACGTTTGGACCTGCAAACCCCACAGGCCTGGGACAGGTCTGGGCAGGAGATGCTGTTTGTCCAATAAAGAAATTACCAGAGATCTGGCTCTGAAAAAGGTCCAGTGAGCAACCATGGCAATGGACAGAGTAGGTGAGAAATGGCAGACTGGGGGCCCTCGGGAGGTTGGAAGCGGCTCTAGGGAGCTGGTCCAGGGCTACGTCTCCCAGCCAACCCACCATAAGGAGCATGAGAGAGAAGCAAGATTTGTAGGTGTAACTGCTAGGAATTCTCCACAGTTGAGGAAAGGCAGGAATCCTGAGGTTAAAAATACTTTCTGTGTTTGCAACAGGGTAAATAAAAATACGTCTCCACGTAGACGTACTGTCCTAAACCGCCCAGCATCAGGTAGCTGCCTAAGGACAGGGACCCTCCCAGAAGGGACAAGACACTACATTGAGAACCCAGCAGCCCTCCACCAGGGCAAGGACAGCAGCCGAGAAACGTCGACTGAATGAATGAAAGACGGAGTACAGATTGTTAGTGAGAGAAAAGGATCCTTTGTCACAGTCACAGGGATGATCTACCCAGAAGGTAGCACAACCTAGCTTAGACGTAACACTCTGACCTAAAAAATATGTAAAGGGGAGAAAAAAACCAGTGTAGCAAAAAAGCAACAGAATTCCAAGAAGAAACGGGCACATCACCGTCAAAGGGGTATATTTTAACACCCCACCGTCAGAAACTGAAACGGGCGCAAAGGAGTAAAAGCTAGAAATGGGAAGCATTAAGCGACCACACCAGATCTGATGGTTAGTTAGAGCCTAGCCGTGGACATCTGAGTTCACGTGGAAGGCTTGTGGAAGGTGCCTCGTACGGGGTCACAAAAGCGATCTCAGGAGATTCCCAGATCTCAGTGTTGGGCAAGCCACGTTTTATTTATTTATTTATTTATTTATTTTTTTATCATAGGATTAAATTTTAAAGGAACAGTAGAACTAACAAGACATTTAACAAAGGCTGAGATGATAACTTCCCTTCCAAGTAGTACATGCATTGAACATGTAAAGAGAATAAAAATAGAAAGTAATCAGAGCTGGATAAAAACGAGCATTTCACATCAGACCTCATGCAGTGTTTGGAGAGAAACATATAGACTTAGATACATTTGCTGGAACATAAGAAAGAACCTTGAAAGAAGCCCGAAAGTACAGAAGGGTGGAAGTGAGATTTCATCCCTGCGGGGAGTTGAGAGGGCTCACACCGCCTTCCAGAATGGAAGGAAGATAACGAAGTAGAAAGTGAAGACAGAGCAGATTAACACAAACAAAACCTGCTTTGAAGATAGGTAAACCTAGCGGGACTCAACAAGGCAAAAAGACGAAACTGTAACAATTTTAAGAGCAAATAGAGAACTATGTATGACCTCAGGAAGGGATGTGTGTTACTTAACACATGGGATAGTAACAGCTTTATGCTGGTAGATATCTTAGACAGCTTAGAAATAGATACAAAGAATTGTTTGTGCAGTTACATAAATTACTGAAATCAGCTCAGGAGAATAATCCAGTCATCATTTCCAAAAGGCATCAGGCCCAGAGAGTTTTATAGGCAAGCTTTACCAAACCTTTACGATTAGATGATTTTAAAGTGTGTCAGAGAATAGGAGAAAAGAGGAAACTACTTAGTTTACGAAGTTTATCCAGATTTTTTTATAGGCAAGTTTTACCAAACCTTCAAAGAATAATCTTAAACAAAATATTTTTGAGAGTGGGACAAGTCAGGGGACTCCTATAGTTATCCTGATAATGCCAAGTGTTGGCAAGGATGTGCTCACTGTGCCGTGGTCAGGAGCCCAGGGTCTGAAGCCAGACAGCCTGGCTCTCATCTGCCCTCAGCATCTGGACTGCCTGAACACACCTCCCTACATCACCTTCCTAAGGATGTCGGGGCGGCGGGGGGGCGGGGGGGCTGGTCAGTGGAGCTAATGCACTAAGTAAGCACTTTGCATAGTCCTTGGCACAAGTAAATGCATTATTATGAAGACTCCCCTAGGCTGCCGATGGAGGTGCAGACTGATAGCCAACTTGGGTGCGGTTGGGTAATTCTAGAGATAGGCCCTGGTAAAACCCACCTGCCTGTGGATGCGGAGACAAGTATATGAATGTTGACTGCAGTACTGTTTCTGATGTCCACATACTGGCATATTGTACAGCAGTGAATATGAATAAGCTATGTGTATCACATGAATATATCTCAAAATGGTAAATATTGAGCAAAAACAGCAAGCTACAGGATATATACGATACAGGTATGCAATTTAAAAACCTGTGAAGTAAGAGAGTATGGTGCTAACAGAGACTTAAATATATAGCAAAGTAGTGATAAAGTCTAAATCTTGAGACTGCAGCGTAGACGGGAAGCAGAAGAGAGCGCACAGGCGCGTTGGGGTTCGGCTGCAGAGGGAGCGAGAGAGAGAATCCCAAGCAGGGCTTGAACTCCACAAACTGCAAGATCGTGACCTGAGTCACCCAGACGCCCCCTGCCTTGAATACAACGTGTGTGTTTGTGTGTGTGTGTGTGGATGCTGACCTGTCCAGTGTCCATCACACACACTTGTAGATTCATAATAATGAAGAGCTCTTTGAGCATCACACGCAGATTTTCCAGCAAAGGGAAGACACTGTCTCCCGCCTGGGCCTTTCTGAGGCCTGGGGAAAATGACTCTAGCCTGCCTAGAACAGGAACTATTTCCTTCTGTTGGCTAGTATGTGTTAAATTTTATTTTAATACCATAGCTAATTTAAAGATGTCAAAGTGGCGCAGCCTGTGGTCAGGAAGGCCCAGCGGCAGAAGGTGGCATGGGCGAGGCTGATTTGCTTGCTTCCCTCTCTTGCCCCTGGACATGTCTGATGGCTTCCTGTGTTACCAAAGGTTGGGAAAAGTGGAAACATTCCAGCAGGCACAACCGTGGACACGAAAATCACCCACCCGACCGAGTTTGACTTCTACCTGTGTAGTCATGCCGGCATCCAGGTGAGGCCACGGTCTCTGTGACATAGTGCGTGTGTCCAGCAAGCACGGGATGAGCCCAGACCCCATGCCGAGCGCTCCAGTGGGCGCCGGGGACGTGGTGGGGAAGCAGGGCTGAGTCTCTGGCCTGTCCTCAGGGGAGTTAGTGGTGAACAGGGGAGGGCCGGGACCATGGGGTGCTGGGGAGAAGGACCCACTGGCGTGCTGTGGCCGTGGTCCCCGTTTAGATGAGGTGAGGCCAGGTGCGCCAGTGAGGCCTGAGGGGCGTCCTGTGTGCATGGGGCCACCGTGGGGAGGGCGCAGGTGACAGAGGTACTGACTCCCAGTACCTCAACTAATTCCTGCCTGGCGGGCTTCAGCCTTGTCCCCCGCCACGCACGTTTGCAGGCCTCACAGAGAGGTCCGTCTCGTGGCCCATCACCTCAGGGCTCCTGGTCTCTGTCGGTGCAGGGACCCACAGTTTTCCATCACAAAGCGTTCTGGCGCCGTGTCCTCTGAGGGGCCGCGTGCCCCGTGGGGCCAAGGCGTGTCTCCGCAGCCCCCTGGTGTAAGTGACTTCTGGACGCCTCGCTCCCCTGCTCACCCCTCTGACCCTCTGATCTGCTTTTAGGGAACAAGCAGGCCTTCCCACTATCACGTGCTTTGGGATGACAATCGTTTCTCTTCCGACGAGCTGCAGATCCTCACCTACCAGCTGTGTCACACCTACGTGCGCTGCACGCGCTCCGTTTCCATCCCGGCGCCGGCCTACTACGCCCACCTGGTGGCCTTCCGTGCCAGGTACCACCTGGTGGACAAAGAGCATGACAGGTGAGTGCCGGGCCTTCGCCGGCTGGGGTTGCGGCCGGGCCCTCAGGCGCCCACACGCCGGCGTCCCCCGCCGCGCCCCCGGACGGCCGGGGCGCTAAGGCAACGCTCTCTCTCTCTGTCCTCCCGCGCCCGCAGTGCTGAAGGAAGCCATACCTCCGGGCAGAGCAACGGGCGAGACCACCAAGCCTTGGCAAAGGCCGTCCAGGTTCATCAGGACACGCTGCGCACCATGTACTTTGCTTGACGCGTCGCAGTGTTTACGATGGTGTACGGACTTGGATCCACGTGAGACCAGCTACACTCAGACCAACGGACGCCCAGCCCTTCCGTGACAGCCAGCATCGAACATGAGACGTCATTGATTTTAGTAGATTCTCCATTTTCCAGAATGCCTTCCGTCCCGGATTTCAGACTTGGATTTTGAACTGCAGACCTGTATGAGACCCCATTGTCGTAGGAAATATGGTTTGCCAAAATCTATAAGCTGCTTATTAAAATAGAGTCCCGTGTTTCCTAAAAATCTCCTAAAACCAGTCTATGAACTCAGGGCTTTAAAACATTTTTAATTTATTTGGTCATTCAACTTACTTGTTTTTAACACATGATTCTCTATGAAATTGATGGGCTCGAACTAGCTGTGAACGTTCTCAGAGAGTGGAAGCAACACAGAGCACGGCAGTGGTTTTAAAGCCTTGAGCGTTGTGAGGAGGTCGCTGGCGTGGACGCCGGAGTGACCCTCGTGTGCTCCTGACAGGGCTCTCACACAAGCTCTTCGGGGCCGAGGGCAGGTGGCCCACCGAGGCGCCCACGGGTGTCTCGCTCTGTCACCACCCGCCTCCCACTCAGCTTGAAATAAGGAGCGGGGGCAGAAGACGGGCCACGTGTGTTTACAACATTTATAGGTCCAGAGAGATTGGCAGACAAGTGCCATTTTAATAAAAATTTATTTAAAAAAAAAAAAAAAAGAAAAAAGACAATATGCCGACAGTCTAATCATAAGATTTGTCCTATAGGACTGTGACATTTATTTTCCAAAGTTTCTAAAGAATACGGGTCTGTGGTGATAAATACAGTACAATCCTTTTTCACTGTTATGTCTTTAATGTAAGAGAAAAATATATATATCTGGTTTGCAGTATTAATGTGATAGGTAGATGCTGTTTTTCATTTTATTGACTACGGGGTGCTTATTGTGATCTGTTTAGTATATCAAGAGTGTTTTGGAGCCTGGAGACTAGACCACCTCGTGTGGTTCTCGCGCTTACATACAGGAGTATGCAATTGACTCAATGTGACCGCGACCCGCCTTCCCCGCGTAGATTGTGTAGCCTGTACCTTGGGGGGGGAGGGGGGAGACTGAGCGCGCGCGCGGCAGCCGCCCGCCGCCCCCACCTCCCGCCCCACCCCCGTGCGTTGCTCGGCCGGTTAAGCACAGATGGAATGTACTTGTTCTTCCGTTTCTGGGAAACAAGTGCACGCGTCAGAGTGCGCTTCTCTCTGCGTCTGGGTCTCTTAGACAAGTCTCGTAGGATCTATGCACTGAAACGCGCAGAGAGCCGGTGGCGGCGGCTCCCCGTTGGGCACGAGGCCAGCAGCCCGCAACGGAGCCCTGCCCGCGGCGATGGCGGACTGCAAAGCCTGCGGGAGAGATTTGCATTCTGGGCCCCAGATGCGGGTTTGCCAGTCTAGGAACCATTGCACTAAGCGTGATCCCATGGACAGTTGGGGAAGGGTGACAGCAGACAACTCTGTGCTAAGCGGGCTGTTTGTCCTTGTAGACAGTTTTTTAAGAAAAAAAAAAATCAAATCCACGTTCAGTATATGAGATTCGGGGAAGGGGGCGAGCCCTTCCTCCCAGTGCTGCTTTGTGCTTTGTAGGCTTACTGCTCCCTGCTGACGGCCCCGGTCCCCCGACACTGACCTCTGGCCCTGTGGTGGGGCGGGGGTCCCGATGGGCTGCCTCGTGCTGGAGACAGCGCCCCCCTCCATCCTTGTCCGCCGGCTCGGGGGTGGAGGGGGGACAGGGGACCGCAGGCGGGGCTGTGGCAGGCGGGGCTGTGATGGACACTTGGCCTAGATTTTGGCGGCGAAGACAAAGGGGTGACTATTGTTTGTGAAGATAAATACTCAGAGTGGTGTGTGCGTGCGTGTCTGTGTGTGCATGTGAGTGTCTTAGTAATGGCATTAGCCTCTTCTTGCTGTATCTTTGTTTTGGGGTTGTTGTTTTCGTTTGGTTGGGGTTTTTTGTTTTTTGGGTTTTTTTGTTTCTGTTTTTTTGTTTTTTGTTTTTTGTTTTTTTTTTGGTCTTTTTAAACGAACAGAAGCCTCTGCTCTAAAAAATGTTGCAATTCCCTGTCGTTTTATTGGCAAGTGGCACTTTCTCCTATTTTCAGAAGGATACCAATACACTCTTGGCTTAAATTACCAGGAGCATCCAAGCTAAGGAGGGAATCTTTTCACTGATACACTTTTGAAATCTGAAATTAGGTTAGTTTTCAGCCATGTTTAAGGTCATCTAGAACCATGTGTCTCAAAGGTGTGTTTCTACGGGCTTGCCACAGCGTCCTGGCGGTTGGGGCAGTGGTGGTGCTTGGTAAAAATGCAGACCCCTGAATCAGATTCTCCAGAGCTGGGGCTGGGCATCTGTATTTTATACCGTCAACCGGGGTTCTGGGGCTGCCTGAAGTCTGAGAACCCCTGACCAAGAAGTTTCTAAAGAGTAATCTCCCTCGAGCACCGAGGGCCCAGCCGGGGGTGGGGGAGCCCTTTGGCACTGCAGGCAGATGGTTCCTAAGCTAACGCCTAGGGAAGATCGCAGGCTGGCAGACAATTAGCCCTGCGGTTTCGTTTGGTTAATCATTTGAAGGAAAGGTGTTCCTTTCTTTTAGTGGGCCCAGAGTACTTTGAGAAAGGTACTTTGTACAACCCTATGCTTGTTTTATAAAACCTTTAATTCTAAAAGTGTTAATAGACCAAACGTGTCCAGCTGGGTTAGCTGCATACCTTTGTACACATCTGATGATTCAGAATTCAAATGGCTGTAGTTACAGTTTCTCAGGTAAATAATTGTTTTCCCAAATTTCTACCAACCCCCCCCCCCCCCGTTATTAGAATCAATGGTGAGATAGAGTAAAACCTCAAAGTGCAGTAGACTAAGTCTGAGCCCTGTCACGTGGAGGCCAAAAGGGGCCCTTGCCCGTCTCTGACTGTGCTCGCACCCACCCCCTGGGCTACCTCGGCCTCCGTGGCCCCAGATTCCCAGGGGAGCCCCGTCCTCCGCCTGCATTCGGTCGCCGGAGGCTTGGGGCCCATGTGGATTTGAGAGGTGTCTGCTTCCTGGCTTCGCCCCACCCCATTGTTAAGTAAGGTGTGCCTTGCTTTAAGCAAACTGAATGTGAAAATTAAGATGTAGAAATCTGGATTCATTAAAGAGGAAAACTAGGATTTATCTTGTCTCTTTAAAAGAGGTCTCCCAATTAGATTCTCATCCTGGTACTCTTCCTAGTAGCTTTTAAAGTGTTCACTTTGAGAGAAGTGACTGTGCCCCCATCCTTTCCCCACTGTTGTGTTCGCTCCACTCTGGCCCTAGTGACAGAGCAATGAAGGAAACCCGGGGGAGCCGGGGACGGCTACCGCTCTGTGCCAGCGCCCTTTGGGGACGCTGACATTCCAGCCCGTGTGTGTGCTACAAGCTCAGAATTTCCTGTGCAGATACATTTTGTAAAACTGGGCATACCTGTACTTTTAGAAAGGGACTGTTTGGGATTTGAGAAGTCTTCACATACACACTTTTGTACATTATAAGGTCTGCTTTTACTTTTTAACGCGATAATTGCTTTTTGGTAGTGGCCTCACACTCCCGTGGATGAATGTTTGCACTCTAGAACCACAGGCGGCCCCTGGCCCTTAGGCGGGCTTGCCCGAGAGGGGCGTGGTGGGAACGGAGTGATTTCCCTGCTCTTTTGAGGTTGGCCGGGGTCCCTGCTCTGACTGATGTTCACCCTGGCTGCTGGGTGCTCATTGGAAAAGACCGTGTAGTTCAGTTCCTGCAGCAGGGTGGGGGGTAGTTTTATTGATGTCATATTATATGTTATTTTTATTGTTGGTAAATGCAAATGTTGCTATTTATTTTTTTCTTTCTGCTCCGGTTCGATTTGGCCGATGTGGATATCCCAATGCATGTGGTACCTGATGGATATGCTAGAAATTTCTTTTCCCCAACTTCCCCAACTTTTGTAAATTGCCTAATGTTTACCTGCAAGTTTGCCGGATGATTTTATTTTTGAAAGCCACAAATGTAATTTTTCTGGATGAATTGTTTTTCTTATATATGCAGCAATGTAATTTTGCATTGATCTGCAGGGTGATTTAAATTTTATTTTTACAAGGCAGTTTTTCAGTCAAATTATATATTTGATACAATATGTTAAGGGTAGACCAGCCAAGCATCCTGCACTTGGGACACCAGACTGTCCTGGGGGGGGCCTGGGGGGCTGGGACGGCTTCTCTTGGTTGCTCGGCATCGTGGAAGCACTTGGCTTGGTTCGCGGAGCCGGCAGGATCTGGATGTACTCCTTCGATGGGACTTTGATCTGTTGGACAGTGAAAAGGATTTTTCATGGGCATTTTCCTACACCTAAGGCAGTTCCATTAGGAGGAGCTTTTAGACGTTGACATAATCCAGACAGTGGACAATCCCAGTGGCCCAGACAAGCCATAGAAATTTCCCTGTGACCTCTCTTTGACTCATCTCTCACGATCCTGAGAAAAGGAATGTACAGTAAATAGAAACTTCCTCAGTGTTCATATGCCTCACTTTCCGAATGCAAATAGTTTATTTATATTTTAAGCCCTTCCCCAAAGTAACCAAGACTCTTCTCCCTCAAGCTGCCCTGCCTGCGGTCTCAGCTGCAGTGACGTTCTCTTCAGTGTAGACACGGTGCACGTGTGACTTTGTAATGGGGCTATCTGCGTTACACACACACGCTGACTCTTTTGTAAGGAAGATTTTGAACTCAATTGCACTGATTTTTTGACAACTTCGTTTTTATTATGTCCAACCTTGCATCTGCTGTACTTGTTGAAATGATTGTAAATAGATTTAGGGCCGCAAACATGATATGAACACAGCGTGTCGCCCTGTTGTAGGGTACTGCCACGTTTTCAGTATTACGTGTTAGAGTTGCGTGGACTTCACTCTGCCTCTTTAGTCTTGTGTCTGCTGACCATTCATGAAGGACAAATTAGCCTCGTTTTCTTGTTTTTCAGAAAGGAAGTTTGCAGTCTGTTGAAAGGACAGTGTGCTCTCCCCTTGAGGTCTGAAGGTTTAATTTTAAGAGGATTAATTATAAATCCTTTAAACACTCTCTTTGGTCTGTTTAATTCCTGGTTGTTTTTCATGGCTCCTTAAAGCATTTTCTTCCAGTTCTATCCAGCATCTGACAGTTTGGATAGGAAGCATCTGTGTGGCCAATGTTGCTAGCCATTGAGGGCCTCCCTCACTTCTCTTCGGTCAGCCATCATTTTAAAGCCATGACATCACTTGTGTCAAAACCGTCATTTGTGGCTTAGCCCATCGATGCTAGAGAGACCTGAAATCCAGCGCTGTTCCTTTATGCCTTGTGATGTTGCTAGATGGGAGGTGTGTGCTCCAGCCCACAGCCCACTGCGTGTAATTGTTTGCGGTCAGGCTACTCAGTACCAGACACACAAGGAGCTTCTAGACCGAAATCAGTCACGAGTGTGTGTTAATGTAGCGTCAATGCCATCGTGGTGCCCTCCTTAATGCTTTTTTGGTTATGTTTTGCCATTTTATTGTCTAAAGTGAATGTATTGGCTTAGCCAAATCACTACAGAAGGTGGTTTCTAAATACCTTTTTAGTTTAAAATAAATAAATAAATGCAGATAAAGGCTACCTCTGAATTCTCAACAGATTCATGTTTTGCTCTTCAGCGTAGCTATCCACACTGAAAACAGCCAAAACGTTGCCTGAATAAACTGAATTGTGAACATCTCTCTCTTCAGTTCTGGCTTGAAAATGTGTGTGCCATACTGTGACCCGTGGGCCGGGGACTCCTTGGGGCTGCCCAGCTCCATCTTAGGGCTCTAAGCGTCCAGCACGAATCAAAGGGAAGAGC